AGTTCTGTGTCTGGGACTTTACCTTCTCAGAAATATAAGTGTTCCAGTAAGAGGAAAGCTGTCTGCAGGCTACTGCATTATTCATGGGAATGTGCTGACCCTTCAACTCACAGCTATAGATGCTGCATTAAATCCAAGGAGATAGTTACCTCCCCGATTGGTGCAATTTAGCAGGAAAGCTTATATTTTATGACCATCAATTATCATTTAACTGCCAACATATCAGACCACATATATGCATACCACTGGTAAGATTTTTGATTGCCTGCACATGTTAGAAATCAGTAATATTACCACTTAAGTTCCAGCAATTCAGTTTTCAGATGCACTCACTGACAACCTGAACAAAATCAGAAGAAGAGATGGAGAGATCAGAAGTAAATAATGGGAAGTTTGAACAGGCTGTCGGGGGAATCTAAGGACATTTGGAAAAAGGGCTCCCAAAAATTTCCTCTTATATTACCAGCACAGCTATATACACTGCTACTAAAAGGCAGGGGTGAGGATTTTAAAACAGATTGGCCCCAAGCTATTAGAATACAGTACATTTTGTACTTTTCCTAGAGGTGATTTTTCTTTTAATTTAAGTTGCAGCTTTGATGTGAAACTGAGATGCAAGATGTGATGATACCACAATGAACTTGGCAGAATGCTATCTATCCATTTTGATGAGCTAAGGCGCACTTTACACAAGACATACTTGGCTCATACCTCTTCAGGTAACCACAAGTGTTTCTGACTTATTTTTCTGACAGATTGCTGCAAGACCAATGCCTAAACCTGGCAAGCTTAGAAAATTTCTTAACCAAATGGATGCAGCTCAGCCCCTTTGCATCCACTATTCATATCGCATTTGTTGTTGAGTTGTCTCATGCAAAGCTTCAGCCCTCCGCATATTTTGCAAACGGCAATAGAGGATATAGGCCAATGTGCAGTTCATGGTCCACCTGCTCCCCTAGGCAGTTTTGTATATGTGATCAGTTCCGCCCCTGGTTCCTCCAAACAGGCAGAAGTTAGCTGCTGTGATCTGGGTATTGGCCAGGCACTGCTGACCAGAAATAACCTATGATAGAGTTCCACTGATTTCCAGTATTTCCTTTTTTTTTTTTTCTGGGGCAAAATCTATCTACCAGTAGACAGATTTTCTATGTTAAGAATATCTGTGAAAGAAAGGGGGTTCATTTGTCTTCAACTTCAACTTCAATGTCACCTCCACATATGTTCAAGGTCTGGAATTTATTCCACCATATACATAGTGTGATAGAATAATTGCTTTACACAAACAGTGCCATATAAAGTATATATTTGTGTAGAGCCAGGTTGTCAGAGACCTGAGTGCACTAATAAGCCTTACTGGCCCTGACCAGCCCCACTGGGATTCACACCCAGCCCTACCCAGGCCCAGGAGCCCATTTCAGCCCAGCCTTAGGCTGTTAGCCCCTGCCCTATGACGACGTAGTGGTGCTGGTCTCCAGCTCCACAACAGCCCTGACTGGCCACAGGCCCTGCTGCTGTGGATCCTGATGGCCCATCCCAGCCTTTGCAGGGCTGTCTCTGACACTGGTTACCCTCACTGGGCCTGATCCTGAAACTAACCTGAAGGCCAGCTGCCCTGCCAGGCCTCGGCCTGGCCCCATCCACATGGAGGTGCCTGACCCCCAGGGTGGCAACCCCTGACCTGCTCTGCTCTCTCATGGGGTGATGGGACAGGCCCTGGTTGCGAGGCCCGCCTCTGCCAGCTCAGGATGCCCCTGCGGCTCTTGTCTCCCTGTCCCTTAGAGAGCTGCTGGCCTTTGCTGCACCTTGACACAGGTATAGCTGCCAGTCACTTCTTGCTCACTGGTTACTAACATTTCTGTGAATCCTGATTGAAATCTGAGGATTCAGGTCTTAAAAAGAATTGTGTTACCTAAGAAGGGTAGCAGAAGCCCATTCAAATATCTAGCATGCAGTTCTCCCCTTAACAACACTCGTTCCACAGAAGGGAATATCAGGGATCCTAATCAGGTCCCACATTACAGTGCAGATAGAACACAAACAGGCATGCAGTGTATATAATACCTTTCACTAGGCTCACGTACGCTAGAGGCCACCTTATACAGCACTCTTCAGCCATAGAACAGCTGAAATGAATAGTCACACATAAAGAAGTAGCAGAACATTCACCCTGAAGTCACCTGGGAAACTCCTGAGTGACTGAATATGCATCTTTTCCATTGACAAAGATCCTTCAATTACATCAGACAGAAAATTTTTTAAAGGCAGGGCTGGAGGGCGAATGGAAGGAGAGAAAGAAAGAACAGGTCTGCACAAGTAACTACTTCAGGAGTGTCATAGCAACCTATTTGCATTTCAGATTGGGCCTGCCTTGAGCAGCCCCGATGAGCTCCTGGAACTGTCTATAAAGAAAATATCTTGGCTGTATGAAATTAAAGAAGCAAGTACCAGTTAGTTACTTCAATCAGTAAGAAAAGCCCAAAGTCCAACAACTGAAAGAAGCGACACCCAAAGAACTGCAGTTGCTAACAAGCAAGGTTTTGTCTCAGGAGTGGAGATGCCTTGTTAAAGATTTAAAGTTTTTTTTTTATCGCTAAGTCAGTGATACAGTTTTTCCATATCATCAGTCATGTTGATCTAGTGCCACACCAGAAGAGAGAGGTAGACCAATTGGAGAGAATTGTGAGGAAGTGAATGAGAATAAACAGATTCAGAAAATACAGCCTAAGAGGAAAGACTGAGGGAGCGTGGGTTCAGTCTAAACAAGATAGATGAAGACAAGAGAACCATCTTCAAACACATCAAAGTTAGGTAAAAGTTTGGGGCATTGTGAGGGGAGTATTTTTCCAGCATCCACCTGTGGGGATGCAGGGAAGGTCTCTATCCTGGAAGGTTACGAAGAGGCTAAACAAACATCTGGCAGGACCTGCAGGCTCACAACAAACATCTCCGTAAATCCAGTTGATTTTGCCTTTGGTATACAGGAAAAATTGGAATACTTCTTGCAGTTTTTTCCAGCCATATTTTTTACTTCTGGGAGACTACCTACTAGCACACCTTCCAGGACATTGTCCTAATTCAAAAAGGCCCTCATCAGGGCTTCACCTGAAGTGGACTTGCTGTAATCACCAGTTGCTTCTATGTAGAATCCCAAGATAAGAACATTTTAGCGGTTAGGTCATTGAGGCAATATTTTGTAAGGTGACAGTACCCTCAGTTCTGGGATTAGAATAATTTAAGTGAACAATTCAAACCAGTTGGCCAAAAACATTTCATAGTAAACCACAGCTCCCAGTCACGTTCTCCATCACTTCTTGCAGATACAGCAGCTATGTTTGCATCCTGATCTGCTTTTGAGAGCCTCTAATGTTAATTTCACATTTAGTGCCATCAGGTCACATTGGAACTCTTCCTCTCTCTAGGATGAATTACTGCACGATAACCTATGTGCATAGCTCATACTCCTGCTTTTCTTCTATAGTTTTTCTTTTTCTTTCTGAATTCACCTTATTATTTAATTCCAGTTATATCTTCTTACTATATATTTTGATCTACTAGGTGATACTCTTTTTCTAAAGACAAACTTATTTGAAGTTTCTTAATGGTTTCTTTTAAAATACAATTTTCAGATCAAAGCAGCTGATTTTGTGCTGTTATGCTGGCTCACTCAGCACAAAATGTTTTTGCTGCTTCCCATAACAGTCTCACTGATTTAGGAGCTGAAACCTCAAGTTTTAACTCATTTTCTCTACAATAATTAGAGAACTGTTATGTTATATCGCTGACTGTCTAGTGGGCTGAAGTGAAACATCCTTCCTTCTGTGGAGAGTCAATGCTGTAATCTTGAGCGTGACTGGCGCTTCCTATGGCCTTTTAATAGACTCCTTTTTAGTCTTTTCCTTAGTGTCCTTAGACTTTTCCTAAGCTTTCAATTTCATTTTAATGTTCCCCTACAGCGTTTTGCACAATGATGTTACAAAAGATTTATAGAATTGTCTTGCAGGTACAATGAGAGCATTCAGAAGGATCATTCAGAAAAATAAGAAGAAAGTATTTGGTTATGATCTATGTATCTGCCCATGGCATGCTCAATCAGAAGAGGTTGTAAATCCCATTTTCCGTGATAGGTGATCAAGTTGGAAAAGACGCAGATCACAGCTCACATACTTTTTACAAATTAACTTGGTTTTATTAATAGAATCAATTTGTTGTTATTAATATCAAATAACTATTCACACAGTGCATGTGCTTATTCCCTTACACAATTCACTTGCATAATCTCACACACACTCACTCATGGTTACCCGACTGGAGCAACAGTCAGGAAGGCAGGCCCAGCTGGTGACTCAGAACTGAAGGGTCACACTGGCACACAGGTGTTCAGAAAGTCCCACAAGGGGTCCTGCGAGTCACCAAGTAGGTCTATAATCCAGTAGTCTTTGCATACAGCAGCCACCACCTTCTTGGATGTGGGCCAAGTTACACAACCCCTTGCTCATGCCAGTGCGTGCTGGTGGCCTTGTACAGATTCAGCTGACTCTTGGTGTCCCAAGTCTATCAGTTCTTGTAGGTACAAGAGGACCACAAGACTCCAGAGCTTATCAGTTCTTCGGAGAGTTTCACACACTATTTTGTAGCATGTACTTTTTCTGTCTTTGGCCTGCTTTTTTCTGGTAACTGTTTCTCCAGCCACACACACAGGTAGCTACAGAACACAAACACACGTATACACACACACACACACACAAACACACACAGAAGGCGCTTTTATGACACGGTCTAGCCTAGTGTCCTATTTGACAGTGGCAAGTTTCAGATGCTGATAGAAACCTTTAACATGAGACCAAGCATACCTCTGCTGAGTTCTCCCTGCCCTCCAACCACAGTATCCCAGGCCCTTCTTCATGCAGATGTGGCTTCCATGTATTTATTATGCCTTATTTTTTACAAAAAAAGGTGAAAATAATTTTCTATATTCTTGAATATTTATTTTTTTCCCACAGATTTCTCCAGTCTCCACTTGAACCAGCATCAACTTTTAGCATCCACCACAGGTTAGCTGCATGTTGCACAAGAACGCACTTCCTTTCATTGCTCTGAACCTGCCACCTGACAGTTTTATCTGATGCCCCTCAGCTATTGTATTGGAAGAAAGGCCACAGCATGTAGCCATATCCATCTGTGTTGTGCTACCTGTGATTTTATAAAAGCAGTTCTAGACTGCCAGTTGTGCCTGTGGCCTTTTTTTTCTGGAACATTTCCAGTTCTACTATATCCTTTTGAAGAAGGGGAGTAGGAAATCAGAAAATATCCAGTATTCTATTTCAAAGCAGCATCCCAGTAATTAAACTCTCCTAATAACTCATCCACACTGGGCTGGCCATGTAGTCAGGATAGGTAGGAGGCTGCAAGATTTACAGGCATATCTTTCAGAATCAGCTTTCTTGTGGCAGAAGAAATGTGGGGATGCCCTGATAATACACCCTAAAGCTTGTCTGATCAATACCAATAGCAGAAAGGTTTCTGCTGACATATTAGAAGGCAAACATGTCAAGATGCTGCTGCAGCCTTTGAGGTAAAGTGTGCTGTCTAGGAATCAAGAAAGAGACTGAGGGAGGAAAGGGAGCTCAATAAAAGTCAGTTATCACCACCAAGACCTCATAAATTCCTATGTTCAGCTTGTAACCATACTTGCTTCTCAGACTGGCCTTTTCTTATAACACAGACAACAAATAGCTACCTCACTCTGAAGTAATAGTCGTACTCAGTTAAAAAAAAGAGCCATATTATGATAGGCCGCATCAGGTGGCTGGACTCGCAAGGGACAAGAATAGGCTGCACCTAACAGCATGGGGAACCATGTGCTGAAATGGAACAGCTCTAGATAGGATGGGTTGTGACTTCCCGTTGTGACTGGGTCCAAAGGGGCATGGGGCATGCCAAGTGGCACAATGGATGCAGCCATGCAATGGCTGACTTTGCATCGCAAAGGTGATTCTCATAGCCTTTTTCAGGGTGGGAACTTCTCACAAAACCGCAGAGTTATCATCAAGCTCCCCGAGAGCATGTGAGGCACTCAGCTTTGGACAGAGGTTCCTAGGACTGGGAAGGATTCAGATGTTTATTTTTGAAGGGGAAAACAGGATTTCTTAAACAAGTTTGTTAGTGACCAGGACTTCCAAGACTTGCCCCCACTCCTGGGAAGCATGTTTTTTATTTAACCTCGGGGTAACTACAGGTAAAAAATAATTCCAGCTTCCCCAGTGAAGGCAAGGCCCTGTAGTTTATTGCAAGGCAAATTCCTTCTGGCTGACCTTGGTGATCCTATCTCACAGGGAAACCAAAGCACCCTGACTTTGTAGTGTTTACCTTGGAATAGCTCATACTTATCGCTTTGCCCGGGACAAAGGAAAAGGTGGAGCTAAGCCTCCAAAGGAGCTATTTCTTTGAGACAGACTACTGATACCTTCAGGCCATGGTTTCTGCAGGAGAATTGTCCAGAGGCAGTCTCAGACATCTCAAGTCAAAACAAATTACCTGTAGGTTCACATTGCAAATTTTTGTACTGTACTACTCTTCATAACTACAGAACCTAGCCTCAAATCCTCCACCTGGTTCCCTCAACTCCCAGTCATCTGCTACAGTGTGGCAGATGGAAGCAGCATTTCTTACTTTTCTTTAAGAAAATATTCACTGAAAACATAGGGACAAATAGGAAATAATAGCAGATAAGGCCAAGGTCCAGTTGTCCCAAGAACATATTTGACACATAAGGCCCTGCAGAGTTTGAGCCTTCAGAGAACTCTGTGGGCTCTGGGAGCCTGGCAGGGAAGGCAGAGAGCAAAGGGAAATCTTTGCCTCCAGCACAAGCAAGGAGGAATTTGCAGTGGGTTTTTTTTCAGAGATGACACAGCTCTTATGCGTGGGAGCTTGCATTTAAGGTTCTTTGGTTGTGGAGTCATGTGGAGCACTGCTGGGATGTACTCAACAGGAAGAGAACAATCCATCCCAAGGAAAGAAAGAACAGGCCAGCAATTGGGATACTCCCAAATTCAAATCTCAGCATTTCCACGCATTTTCTCTCAGCGTTTCCTCAGATTTTCCATTCCTTCTGCATGTCCTGCTTCATCTGTGCATCTACTTTCCAGATAGATTGGGAGGAGGAAGACTGACTGATCTTTCATTCTGCCTTTCTGAAGAGACCACGAAACTACTACTAATAACTACTAATAGACTGAGCTACTGGAAACTACTAATAGACTGAGCTACTAACAGACCAGCATGAGGTAGAAGGCTGCAGACTGTTGGTCCACATACTGCTACAATGGTTTGCATACCACTACTAGGATCCACAATCTGGGAAGCTCTGTACTACAAAAAGAGGGATATAGGGGGTTCTGGATTAGTCTGTCTAGTGTTTAAAGGAACAGATATGTCATGCCCACCTTGAATGCTGCCAGTCAAATTGGCATCACTCTCTAGCATGCCATTTTTGTCCTCATGCCACAATTTGAACATATTGAACAGTATGCTATGACTCAGCAATATTTAAAAAATACGGGCCACAGGATCTGACCTCCATTAAAATTTTGCAGGGCTGGTGAGCAGGTAAGCAGGAATCAGGATTCAAACAATACCATCAAAGCTTTATAATGAATAATTGTCCCTTATAAGAGGAAGAATGGTTGACAGGACCAGCAGAAGTGACTTTGTTTCTGAGCTCAGACTAGAGGTAGAAACTGCATCAGCTTAATATTTCACAGGCCAGAAAGTGGCTTTGAATATTCTCATAACTCAGAAAATGCTTCTCCCTGTGATGAATGGGGGACAATAGCTGACTACCACAAGGGAATGATAGATTTTGACTGTCCAGTCTACCATCTACTCCACTAAGAAAACTAAACAGAAGTAGTGGGGAAAAAAAAGAGAATAAAGGATTATTTTAAAATTGCTAAATACACATTACATATAGAAATCTGATTTTTCAAGCTGGTGCCATTTTCTCTCCTTTTTAAACCTGCTCAGCTTTTTTAGTTAACAGTATTACTTCAGACATTTAAAAACACAGCAAAAAATCAGGGCTCTGAACGGTTCTGTCTGTATCTAGAAAACAAGGCTGGCTCAAGGTTTTGCACAACCATACACAAGTTCAAAAAATTTTAAAAAAATTTAAAAATTCTCCTAACAAAGTGTTCTAAGTGTACCAGCCCTAGGTTCCTACTCACAGCCTGTGAGAAGAGTGCACTTTAATGGCCCAGTTACTGAACAGCTGCAGTTTACAGCTTTAATACACTGCTCTAAACTGTCCATATTACAGTTTAGGCCAGTACAGTTGGTAGCCTGAGGCCAGGAGCAAATATACATCCCATTTAGCCATTCCTTTTAAGGGGGAAATCACCTTTGATGGAGAAGCAGAGCAGACATCAGGAAGGCAAGGCAGGCCGCCATTTGATTTGCGTACACCCACAGGCAAACACCCATGTTTGCCACCACTTGAAGAATCTTGCACTAGGCAGAGCCTCCTCTCTCACGTCAGCTCTGCAGGGAGGTATATTACTCAAGGCAGCAAGAATCAAGACAAGTTTCATATTTATTGAGCAGTTGTTCCTTTTTCTGTCTGAACTACTGGAAAAATAGGCACCCACACCCAACTCATAGACAGGCTGTTCCCTGAACACAAATAGACAATGTTATAAACTGCACCAAGCACTTTGTTAAGTAAGACACATCTCAAAACCAATGCCACACTTCCTCAAGAAGTCTATTTCAAGTATTTCTCTTCTCCTTTCCTCCTATTTCTTCCCCATTTTCCTCATGCTTAAAATCTCCTTTGGAGGAGGCTTGCACAATACAATGTGTTTTCTTCAGGACCCATACAATCTGTTATAACCAAGAAAAGTTAGATTTATTTAATTCTTTGGTTGCAGCTGGGGCCTCAGTAAGCCTGAAGTTCTGCTTCAGGCACTGCACCCACAAATAGTTCATCCAACATATGCTCCTCAAGGATGCTTCAGCTTCCTACTCTGAAGTGGTTGTGCACAGTAAGCTCTTGCTGGTCTTTTTGCATGGAAGTATGATTTCCAGCAGACTTGTTAAGTCACGGGTCAGATACTAGAGAAGGTATCTGTTTCAACATAAAATGCATTTGAAATATTCCGGACCAGAACGCAAGCTGGACTTAAACAAGTTCTTCAAGCCTTATTGTTTTTCAAGGACAGTTCTGTTTCCAAATATGCATTTCAGGTTGAAAGAACAAGTCTGTTTTCTTGAGTTAATGTGCTCCAAGACATCACATCAGGCTTTGCAGTCCTGCAAGTGGAAAAGGGTTGGGAGAGAAAAAGCTTACCTGGAGGATGTAAGTGTGCTTCCCTCAGAACCGGTTAGATTATTACTCTTAGGGCACGAGACAAGGTAATACAGTTTGTAAGGTCTCAACTCTGACAGAGCTTTCAGACAGTGTAGGAGAACCACAAAATGCTTCCTCGAGTGGTATAGAGACCCAGGGCTGATTAGCAAGAGGTGTATCTGTTGATGCACAACTCCTGCAGCCTTCAAGCTATTGAAGAAATTTAGCCAGGAGCATCCACTGAATACCCTAAGCAACCTGGACAAGCCACCACAACCACAAGACTTCCTGCTTCAGTAACAGGTAATTTAACATTGACTATGTAGACAAGAATTAGTGTTGCCATTGACAGCTGTGAGGCGCTTCTCTGGGAAAATAAGGACCAATAGCACAAATCAGTAAGACCACAGAGAGACAACCATAGCTGGGACCCACAGAGGCAGGTTGAAGTCCAGCAGAACCAGCTGCAAAGCCAAGCAAAGGACTGGGAAGGATAGAAACTTTATGTCCTAAAATGGGTTCTGAGCAACTGGCAGACTCAGCTGGCCAGTTCATGTCTCAGACAGATCTGAAAACTAGAGTTCTGGAAGCTCATGTGGAAACTACTGCCAAAGAACAGACACTCACTCTGGTTAATATGGTGAAAGACAGTCATACAGCCAATAGATGTGGAAAAGGTTCACAAAATTGATTGCTTATGAAGGGCTTGGCAACTGCTGAATGAAATACATAAGAAATCAATGAAATACATAAGATTGTGGAAGGAACCTTCTATCACCTGTGAGCTCAGTGCTCTCTTCAAGCCACCTCTCCTCCAAACAAGATACTATTCCTCAGTTCTCCTTCACTGCACCAGCCTTCCTTCCCTCCTTCAAAACAGAGACTCATAGTCTTCTTTCTTGTCACCTTTTCTGGGGTTGCAGGCCATGCCTTGATTCTATGTCAACATCATTTTGCCTAGAAAGATCCTGTTAGGACTACTCCCTCTTCCCAGCAGGTCAAGCCAGTTTATGGAACATTTCAATGCACCATAGATCAGTCTTAGTGCATCACCTTATTTTTGTCCTTCAATGGCCCCAAAGGACTGGCCAGGCTGACATGTTTTTAATACTCACTATAGGGCAGTTCAAAGCAACAAGCTCTTTCTCAGAAACAAGCAAACAAAGTTTCTCTTTGCCTATGGGAATTACTGTTCTTACTTCTGGTGGGACAGTGCTGGGACAACTCTTTGACCAAGGGACTGAGATAAAGCTAGCTTCCCAGCCTTACTAATGCTAAAGAGCCACTGAATATATGTAGAGTATGGGAGAGGCAGAGGGTGCGTACCCATTCCCTAAAACAATCCAGTCCAGCAGTCAAGACCAGCATGAGATTGTCATCACAGGGAAGTGTTGGCTTGCCTAGAATTGATCTCCTCAGACAGAGCAGTCAGCATCAAGTAGGATTCCCCATAGACATCACCTCATATAGTGGCCAGGAGCAGCTCCTGTGATACTTCTTCCTCTGTGCTTGGCTAATAGTGTCTCAGGGGACACCAAGGCAGCCAGCATTTGGGGGAGCAGAAGGAAGCAAGCAA